GGGCGGGGGGCCGTTTCCCCCGCCCCCCCGGACCAGCCGCAGCCGCCCCCGCCCCCTCACCCTCACCACCAGCCCATCCTCGGCAACGGCCGAGCCAGCAAGCGGAAGACCTCCCGCATCATGGCCATGAAGGAGCAGAAAGCCCTCAAGACTCTGGGCATCATCATGGGGGTCTTCACCCTCTGCTGGCTCCCTTTCTTCCTGGTGAACATCGTCAACGTCTTCAACAGGGACCTGGTGCCGGACTGGCTCTTCGTTTTCTTCAACTGGCTGGGCTACGCCAACTCCGCCTTCAACCCCATCATCTACTGCCGCAGCCCCGACTTTCGTAAGGCCTTCAAGAGGCTGCTCTGCTGCCCGCGGAAAGCCGACCGGCGGCTGCACGCCGGCGGCGGGGAGCTGGCCCGCCTGCCTGGGGGCTTCGTCAGCACCGTCGGGTCCCCCGAGCGCAGCCTGGGAGGGACCTGGTCCGACTGCAATGGGGGCACGCGGGGCGGCAGCGAGTCCAGCCTGGAGGAGAGAAATAGCAAAACGTCCGATTCGGAGTCCAAGGTATAGGGGGGAGGACGTGGGGGGCCACGTCGGGCCCGGGGCAGGGGGAGAGGCAGGCAGGGAGGCACACGGGAGCGGAGAAATCCCCGGCAGCTGCCTGGTGGTCAAGCTGATGGCAAGCCAAACTCATCCCTGTCTTAGCGGGGAGAGAGCGGCTGTTTACTTAGGAATAAAAACAGGTGAACTCGTGTACGACATACCTCATCCGAAACTACAGCAAACAGGAAACCCACTGACCGGAGAACAAAGAAAATAAACAGCCCGTCCCAAAGATAGCCAGCTTATGTTTAGGAGAAGTGCTTTCGGAAGGGGCTGTGGTTCACTCGGGTGAGTTGTCCCAGGACCGTGCCGGTGGTTGAACCTCAGTGTGGAGGTGCCGGCTCTTGGCCGCCGAGTTTGGCTGCAGCGGGGGGTCCCAGCCGTCCCCCGCCTCGCCCGGGGCTGTCGGACACCCCAGGTTTCACTCCCTCACCCGCAGCACCGGGCGGTTTTTGGGGAGGCGCAGGGTCCGTGCTGCAGGTGCTCCAGGCGGAGAGTATGGACCCGCGGGCAAGATGAGTTTTAAGCTCGGAGTAGCTGTGCTCCCCTCTTCCGCAGAGTAGCGATGGAGAGAAATAATGAGTAATGAGTGAGGAGCACAGGTATATTTCGAAAGGGGGTAAAAAAAAAAAAACCAGTCCACGCTCTTGTGCTTTTTCCCTCTGCATCAGCAAGCAGTGAGTTATTGTGCTTATCTCCTTCGGCCAGACAATAGCAGTCAGGCTGAGAAACTTCTACCTCAAACTGTGCATATTGTACAGGGGAATAAACAGGCCATGTTTATATTAAACAGCATATTTACATACCATTAATTGTTTTTTTGTAAGGGGGGGGGGGGGGGTAGCGAGGAGCCTTCTGAAGCTTGTTCATTGTAATTATGGATGAACGGGGGGGGGGGGGGGGTCCGGGAAAAAAAAAAAATTTACTGCACATTTTTTTGAAAATGGCGACAAAGCCATTTTTTGCACAGTGTTAAGAGTCGTAATGTTATTTGAAGATGTTACTTGCACACACGTACACACACGCAAATTAAAAATGAAAGGGAGGTTTGAATAACGCTGACCCTGAAACTGATTTCTGGTTTTGTCTGATCTGTTACAGTTTGATTGAGAGAGTGACTTTTTCTATATTAGTTTATGAAGGTACTGTAAATATATCCATATTATAAATTAAAATATCTTAAGAGACTTTATTATTTTTATTATTTCCAAATGCCCACGTGAATCTGCTGTTATTTTAGCACTTGTGTGTCATTTCCATTTTCCTCTCTGTGTGTGTTTTATAACATATTTATACTCTGGTGCAATTTACTACTGTGTAAGTAATTGGTCTATGTGCAATAAATACCATTGCAGCACAAGCAAGCGTGTCTCTATAGGTTTCGAAACAATACCTACCTATAATGGGAAGAACAGCATTTGTTTTTCTCCAAAGATGGCTCAGATTACCAATACAACTCTATCTAATGGCTTTTCCTGACACAGTATTGTAAAAAACGTGTTTGAAACCCAATAAGGTTGTGTTCCTGTTGCACCGAGGTCTGCTGACTTCCCTTAAAATTAATGGCTAAAGACAAGGTGTTTCCACTCTGATAATGAATACACTCATTTTCTGTAAATGTTCCTTTCTAGAATATATTCTTTTTTGTTGTTGTTGTTGTTAGGAGTACGCAGCTGGGAGTCAGGAGACCAGAATATTTAAGATTACAGAGGATGTTTAATTTGAAAGCTAAAAATGGGCTCGAGTAGGAAGAAATCTCCACATGCGGTACACGCTACCCCACAAGTAAGCCCACCTCGTGCTGATGGTGGGCCCGATCCTGCCCGAGCGAGGTGGGTGGTGTGTGCTCAGCAGGACTGGGTCCCGGTGCTGAGCGTGGAGGTCGGGGGAGACCCCTGCCCGAAAAGCAGCCGGAGGAGGCTCATGCCCTGTAAGGGGAGATGGCAGCCAGGCAGTCGGTCGCAGGACTCCAGACTTTGGTTCCGTCTTACTGTAAGAAAGGAGTTAACCTCTGAGGGAATGGCTGGGGCATAACTGGAGCAGGATCGGACTCCGGGACAGACTTAAGCGCCGCTGAAACCTTTTCTGTGTCACTGGGTGAAATAAAACTACCTAGTTTGTAGATCATAATGCTAATGGTCATGTGCAGCGTGGCTTCAGTGTGCTGCTGACAGTCACATATTCCTTGGGGGCCAGATTATGATCACTGAATGTTATATTGTGGACTGATCCAAGTAAGGAGATACTGTGAACAGAAGGGCTGCAGGTTTGCGTCCCTGGTCCGAAAGATTGTCTTCCTTTATTGCTTTATGAAGGTACGCTGTATCCTTGTGGTTTCATGAAGTTTTTCATTACTGCAGTGAATGCATGGCAGATAGAGCAACAAGAAGGCAGTGCAGAATGAAAGTGAAGCCGTTTTTAGCTTTATGAAACTCAAAAGTATAGTTAAATTAGAAATCAGCTCCCAGGAAAAGCACTTCCCAAAGCGAGTTCTTTAGGGTGGTGGCCAGCGGTTTGTTTTGGAAACCATTTGTTCATTTTTTTTGTTTTAAAAGTTAAGGAATTTGTCCTTTGCCATTTCTAGTGATGTATTTTCAGGGAGGAAAAAAAAAAAAAAAAACAAACAAGTTACACTTTTTATGCAAGGACAAAATGAAGGGACCAGGGAAGTAAATAATACTTTTCCATTGATGTTACTGGGGTTCGGTGTGAGCTGCAGTTAATGGTGTCTCCCTCGATAATAGTGAAATGGGCTGCTTAAAATGCTGGGGTGACATCAGACCAGGTGCTAAGTGAAGTAGGCTCTGCCACCAAGTGATTTTTTTTTTTTAATCTGTTTTTGTCTGCAATTCCACCAAAGACATCAGGACCAAAAGGGTGCACAGGATGGCAATGTCTGATGCCAGCAACTGAGGTGAGACATTGGCTACGCATGTCGGGATCGGGATGGGATGGGGAGGCAGCAGTGCCCTCCTGTGCATTGGGCATCACATAAATCAGTTCACATACTTAATTTTAACCATCCAAACGCTCGTGTCCTTAGATTTTAAAAAGTGATGAAAGTTTCGGCTCAACAGGGTCTGACTTTGGTGGGAAATTTTTGGCCAGAACCGGCTCGGCTTTTGCCGAATAGCTGTGCTGGCTCATGCTTCCCCTAGACAAGTGTAATGGCATTGAGAAGGTGACAGGTAGGATGAGTTTTGCCCATCGGCCTCCGTAGGGCCCGCTGTGTGAGCAAAGTGGTCGGGATTTGTCTGCCGTTGAATTTTAGCCAGTCGAGGACCTGCTGGAAGAGTCTGGAGGCGGGCACGTTGAGTCCCTTCGTAGACAGCTAAGATAATCCACCTGGCAGCGTGGATGGCGGATGCCGGTCCGTGTCGCACGGTGTAAAAAGGCGGTGGCACGGTAACGGTGCGGACGGAGCAGGACATATGGCACGCACGTGTGCGAGGAAGGGGAGGCTGCTGGCGAGCAGTCTGCCGTGGATCACGCTCAGAACAGGCTGTTCTCCGCGGAGAAGAAGGATACTCTGAAAAGTGTTACAGGGCAGCTGAAATACTCCGGAGGCAGTGAGTCAAACACTCACGATGAGTATTTTTTTCTGACGAAAACCAGACATGGATTAGCAATTGGAGCTGCAGGTCAGAAAGTATAGGTGGTAGGCATGCAGCTGCACACGTACGTGGGCAGGAAAGTAACAGCAAAGAGCCGCAGGCCTGCAGTGAAGGGAGATGCAGGTAAAACAGAAATCCACTCAGAGAAAAATGTCCTGTGTCTGCCAGGACCAAAATTACTTGGCGAGGGTGCCTGAGACTTCCACATGCAAGACGCCTGATTCTCAAAGGCGCCGGCTGCACGCTAAGCGGTGTTTGCTCAGCACTTCTGAAAAGAAGGCTGCATCTCTCCACGTGCTTAAATGGGAATATATTGGGTGGAAAGCCTGGCTTCAGTTTTCCCTGTGTTCAGGAAAGTTAAGGATGTTTCAGACATGCAGCGGGCTGTCGAAGTGGCTGCAGAAGGACCTCCGCACCGGTGAGAGCTGCACAAAAGCTCTCCTGAAAATTCACTGCGCTTTGAGGCCGTGACCCTCAGCATCAACTGACTGTAGCTCCAAGCGGTAACTGGTGAACGAATGAAACTATGTGCAAAAAATGCGGCTTAAAATTGTGAACTGTGCCCATGGCGCACACAGCATTTGACAGCATCAGCCGGGTGTTTGTGATACAGCACGCACCGGTTCTTCTGCAAACTCTGCTTTCCCTTTTGGGTATGCACGTGTTTTCAAGTATGAGGACAACTTCTTTATCAGCTTCCCCCCCCCCAACCCCTATCTGAAGTCGGTTTTATTAATAACTTTTAAGTGGCTATTTTGCAACCTTCCTTATGCTGCACACTTTCCTAATTTATTGTAATTTCCCGTCCATTGGAGTGCACTTACTTCCTTTATGTAATATATCAGCTGCAGGGCTGGAAATTGTGTAGCTATGAACTGAAAGAGCAGACTTTCTTGAGGCCAAACGCGGTCAGGCATCATTGCCACTGGGAGCAGAATTTGACCTGATAATCTAATCTTATACGAGAGACTATCTCCAGAAAAGTATTGTTACCAGCAGTAAATGACCTCTGCTAATGAAGCTGGAGCAATTAGTCCTATTCAAAGCTGTCAAGAAAACATTAACTGCTAAACAACAGTTAACATGGGATAGCTCAAATAATGAGTGTTTTGTTTGCTGGTGTGTGTTAGGTGATGTGTTGGGAAATAATTATCCTTTGACTAGCAGCCAGCTTTGTACTAATCAGAAAGGAGAAGTCATGTTCCCTTTGAAGGATTATACCTAAAAATAGTTCTGTTGCCGCCACATCAACAAGCGAAATGAAGCAAATTCGCGGAGATGTACACACCTTCTTAACATTTCAGTTTTCGTCCTAAAAACTCATTGTTCAGCTGGAACTTTCTGTTTGATCGTGTCAAAAGCACTAAATGTGATCTCCTCCAATAGTGCTAAGCACACTCCCCCCAAGGAGCATTACCCTATGCACCACTGACTTGCTTTCAGAGCCTGCCAAGTTCCCAAACACCCCAGGAGGAAGTAAGGAGTCTTTCTCTTTATATAAACAACCGCATATAATGTAAGATCAACAATATTTGTGATAATCGTCTCACAGAAGAAATCAATACGCTTTTTGTTTGAGATGTTTGTACGCCTGCCCATCCGTGAGGAGCAGCCGTGGTAACAGCAGGTGATTTATTCGTGCAATTCAGTTACTTCAGGCTGTCAAACTGTGCTTGAAAAAGTGACCGAGATGGGAAAAGGGTAAAAAAAGGTGATGCTGGCAAGCAAACCTGGGATTATCATTGCGAACAGCAAAAACTGGGGCATCTTTGGCCATGCTATAGGTGTTGCCTCTTACTGGTAAAGTCTATTTTATTTGGTTTGGATAGGCACGCACCAGACAGATGCACTGTAGAAACACGGGTTAAGAAGTGTGAGAGGTAAGACGCTTTCCATACAGGACCGTGCGACCAAGAGACGGGCAGCTGAAACATGCCCCAAAGATCCCTAAAAGTTCTTCTTACTCTTTTCGGCTAACAGCAGCAGACTAAAGCACACCCGAGCAGCTTCTCGGACGGCGTAAAGCCGCGCAGCTCCCTGGCCATCCATGGCTCCCGGGACACATACGTCCCTCTTAGCATCACCCCCTCCCCTCTGCGGGGCTCGGGTTGGACCCGGAGCCTCCCGCATCCCGCAGCCGTCATCCTCCTGCGCGGTGCCAAGCAGGAGGTGGCCCGTGGCACCCCGGGGTGCAGGTGTGCCCGCGCTGCCTCGGCTCTGCTGGGCGTGCTGGTGCAAGCTGCCGGCCGCACCGCTCCGCTGTGTCATTGCTCCATCCTGCAAACGCCAGCGACAGAATCGAGCCCGCCGTGCTGGAAATGCAAGAGTGTTTGGGTTTGTTACGTAAACTGGCGATCGGCTTCCCGGTTCATGAAAACTGGCAGCTTGGTACGCACGTTCGCTTCGCAAACTGCCGTTTTTGTCTTCCTGCCCACTTGGCTCCCACGTTTTTTTTGTGGCGGTCTTTGCTTGCTTGTCCTTAGCACCCAGCAGCACGCGTTTTTCAGCTGTACCCCAGCAGCAGTCTGCATGCAGACGTGAACGGTACCAGATGCTGGGCAGTGTCTGGGTTTGGTCATACCTATTCCTTCCAGGACTGATACTCAGAGTTATTAATACCAGCTGCACCAAAGTGCAAAAGTGCCAGACAAATAGGAAATGAGTCCTGACCTCCAGGTCCGCAACCTGAAGGAGGAAACAGAAGTTTACCCAGACTTTTGCCATCGCCATGGTTAGCAGCACATCTCAGACGTAATGGTGTGCCTTTCCCCTCTGATCCTGTGTAATGCACTGAATCCTGTTGTCCTTAATGAGATTAAATGAGGATTTTCTACTAGTTCAGTGCTCCAGCCATTAGCCACTGTTGTGCGTCTCTAGGCAGTGATGTACCTTTGCATGCCTGGCCCAGTGTCTCTCTAAAGCCATGATAGACTTCTTCCTAGCAAAATTGTTTTGATAATTGGTCTTAAGCTCGTTGGCTCAGTGCTTTGAAAGGCAGATTTCAGTGTATACACCGAAGAGGCAGTCGGACCCACTGAAGAGCTCAAAATCTCAGCAGCTGCTAGGTGTATAAATATTTCAGCTACCAACAAGTCATTCCGCAGGGTCAGGCGAGTGCTGCAGCCCCCTCAGAGCCTGTCACCTGCCCTCCCTCAAAGTGGGACTGCAGAATACCCTGCCACTGTAAGAAAAAACTGCAGGGACGGTGCAATAGCTCACGACAAAAGATTTGCCAGGTGGTAACATTTAAACAGTGCTTTGCGGCCAAAATGTCAAGAGTGCTTGTTAAGAAGAAGGAATTGAGAGAAGCCCCTGGCAGGACTTCCTAGCCGGGAAGGGAGAACAGTGTTCTGGGTTAAATTTTCTACGTAAGGAAGAAGAGCCCCTCGTTGACTGGTCCAATGAGAGTTACAGATGCTACCAGCACCCTGTGGAAGCCACAGTGGTGGACAAGCGCCGTCCGCCCCAGTCACCCCTGGGGACAGCTCACGGTGCCCCCAGCCGCCCTCCCTCTGCTCCCATTTGGGTGTATAACGTGCCCCCCGCTCACCTGCCCGAGCATCAGAGGGGACCCCAGAGGTGTCCTGCGCCACAAAGGTGTGTGCCAGCCTGCGTCCCCCCCGTGGGGTTTGCCGACCCACCGTCATTGTGCTGCGGAGGGAGGAGCGCTTCCTCTTGGACTGGAGCAGGTAAACTGGGAGACGTCCCACAAAGCTCCCATTGTTTAACAGCTCGCCCGCTCGCAGAGCCCGCCTTCAGCGAGGGATTTTTTGTTTGTTTGTTTGTTTGTCTGTCCTTCCCCTAAACACTCGCTTGGGAGCCATCAAATAAAATCTCAATTAGCTGGCTTACGACACGAAGCGTGGTGTGGGGTGTGTTCCCTGGCACGGAGCTACCCTTACTGGGGTACGGTGGCAGAGGGGGGGGGGAGGCAGGAGGGGCCGCTGAGGGACCTGTTGCTCACCCCCCCTGCCCCAACTGAAGCATCGCTGGTACCCTGGCAGGTTTCCATCACCAGACTAGGACAGCCACAACACCAGTGCACCCAGGCTGCGCCTGAAATCCCGGATCCTGACACAGGAGCATCCGATCTGCTCACAAACCAGCTCACCTCAAATCCTGGGGCTTTTCGGAGCTTTTATGTAATACTCAGTGCAAGGCAGCTGCTGCTGCAGTAATTGCCAGTAACAACTGGTATTGTAACGCCGCTCTAAAGCACCTCCAGAGCATCCACGGGAGAGGTTTTGTTCCTGTTTCACTGCCAGGTGGTTCCCAGCTAGCTGGCAACGGGGTGAACGCATGTCTGTGGTTCTCAGCATCAGCCCATCCAAGCCAGGGCTGGTGCTCGCACTCTGCCCTGCACAGCATGTCCCGCTGCCTGGACTGGGTCTGCTGCCTGTGCAACCGGTGGGCAATGGGCTCCCCTGGCTGAAAACCAGCCCTTCCAGAAAAGGTTTGTTTCAGCTGATTCACGCAGGTTGCATGAACACAGGTAATGGCACGAGGGGCATGGGAACGTGCAGAGCAATGGGGCTGAGATCATGTTTTGGTTGCAGCCCCGATTTGGATCCATCACTGTGATCACAAACCTCATGTCTGGCGGTGATGCTGCAGAAGCTGAGACCCGGACCAGCACCCTCTGGCCTGTCATTTTGCCTGACCTGCATTGGAAAAGCGAGACTCACCACCTAAACCTTCCCTCCCTTCAGGGGCCACACTGAACATTATATTCAGAAGCTTAATGACTAAGCCATTAAGCTTCTCATTGCATGTGAAAAGTGAAAAAAAAATTAGTTTTGCACAAGTATTCATGCGATAGAAGAAAACATGATGTAAGTCTGATTATCCACTGGGTAGCTATACCACAGTGAAGAGTGTGGGATAGACTCCTCAGCTTCTGGCAGAGATCTGGACCAAGGCAGCTGAAAGAGCAAGTCAGGTACCAGGTGAGAGCACTAAGCTGTCCCCAGCTGCAAGAGGGTGACATGGCAACAAGCCGCGGGCAGTGGAAAAATAATCCCCCAGGAAGAGCAGCTCTGTTTGCGAAATGTCTTTGTGTGCATCCCAACGCTGATGGGCACAATTGAGCTGTTAGTGATTTGTGAGTGATCCCCATCGTGCGTGTCTTCTGGCGGATGGTGTTTAACCACTTTTATTCCTGCACACTTCACTTATGTGGAAGCAAGGAATGCAGTGATAAAAAGGCTGGAATAATTTCAGTGCTGGATAGTTTCCATTAATATATTTCTCGTTATATAACACTGCCATCAGTGTACAAAATGTGCTAAGGTGCCTTTTAGGAAGGTGGAACATTTCTACATGGCCATAATTAAGAAAGTTGTGTTGTAGAGCAAGCTGGGCTTTGATCAGAGACTTTTTAATTGCACTGGATGTGCTTGGGCTTTTGCATGGTATGGATTTCTTTGCCTTTACGTTACGAGGCACCTCATAAATTAAATGGTTGATGTTGTCAAATGCATGCCATTAGCACTCTGAACAGATAATCCCTTCGGTGGCCTCATCGCAGTCTATCGCAGGGCCTGTCTCCAGATAAGGGCCTGGAAGAAGAACAATGGTGCTCCGAGCTCCCAGGGACCTCCACTCTTCAGTTCTGCACTTCAGAAGAGAAAAATTATCATTATCTGCATGGCTCAAGCTCCCTTTGAAATGCGGTTATTTTTTACTCATACACTCCAAGCATTTTTTACATGATATCAGTGAGAAACTTGAAACCCCCTTTGAGAAGGGAAAGATTTCCTGCAGCCCTACTACTAAAGAAAATGGATAGATCAAGTAGTAAAGTTCAATGACTTACTTAGCATTAAATAAGAAAGAGAATAATGAATTGGATTTTGTGTGCCTGTTTTTCCTCTGCAGGGAACAGTCAGGCTAATGGATTTTCATTGCCTTCTGCTTCTGTTCATCAATCTAGGTGAGTTCAAAACACTGCTGCCTTTTTGCGCTCTCCCTTAGCTGCTCACTTGTCACAACTTCAAGTATTTGGAGCTTAGCAAACACATGGGTTTACTACCATCAACGCCATCCTGACTGGTGAGGAGAACATGCAGGATTTAACCCCCTTCATCCAAGGATGACTTGTGGCCTGCCGTGTGGACATTGTGTTTTATGTTAGGTAGCTGCAAGAAGGCAATTCCTTACTTAGGGTGGACACTAGTTTCCTACTATTATGAGCTCAGGCTTTAACGTCCTTCAAGAGAGACATTATTTCCCCACTGGGTTCACCAAAACCTGGTTGGGTCTCCAAACCCCTCCTTTGTTTACGGGCTTTGCCAAGCGCGCCGTAGGGAATTTTATTGGGGAAGGAAGGGAGGTGGTGTAGGAGGAAACTATTACAAAGCTATATAACATAAACAACTTTCTCATGTAAACTCCAAACACCGCTTGGCACGGAAGAGGTTAAAGCTAGGGGTGGATGGGGGGGCTCATTAGGGCAAAGATATAAATAGCAAGTCGGGAAGCCTGGGGAGGGACACGGGGGAAGGGGAAGCGATTAGTTGACCCTAGGTGGGGTGGGCTCCCTGGGCTTGCTGAAAGCCCTCTGCTGCTCTGCCCATGGGGTTAGGACCTGGGTCCTCCCTGAGGCATCCCAAAGCAGGTGGATGCTCAGATGGAAACCCTGCGTAACTGACCGGGAGCCATATTTGTTCAAAGGTGAACCTGAAAGGTGTTTGGGTCACCTCGAGACTTTCTGCAGAGCCAGAAATTGCTGCTGCTCCTGCCTGCACCTTCCTGCCCCAAACCTTCGCTGGGCTCACCAGCGCCTGCCCAGAGCTGGGGAGCTGCTCTCTGCCTGCTCGGATGGTCAGAGCAGGATTTCCGTTTTCCTACCAGCCTTGGTGCTTCAGGCTTTCTGGTCTGTTTTTTGTCCAAATGGGAAACGCATAATGAGAAACTGTTTAAACAACTTATGGTACAAGGAAACTCGCTGGAGTAAAGTACAACATTATAATTTATTTCCAAGGAAATGATGCACTCTCCAAAAGCACTCCACTCATGCACTGTGATTTAAAGTTGCAGGATAATAGCTGGCCATCTTCAGTGCTGCCTGCAGCCCTCATCTAGGTCTGAGCGTGGTGCACGAGGAGGGCAGGAGTCTGCCAAGATCATCCGTGCTGCTGTCTGGTCTGGCCACCAGCAACCATTCATCAGCAGGTTATTGCAGATCTTTGCACACAGCGAGATGCTCGATGTGGGTATAACTCTGCTGGTGATGAGGCACCAGGCAATGTTATATAAACTCTGTGCCAACGGATACGTTAAGATATACACAAATGTTAACAAGGGCGTTTCCTTAACAATGTTTTAAACCACCCATAGCAGCTATGTGGACCCAGATGACAAAGTGCAGAGAGTGACCAAGCGAAGGACCATCTCCCCTAGCCCCCAGGCTGTGAGTAAGGTTGGTACCTCGTCACAGTTGAATGCCCAAGGTTCAGGGAGGGTCAGGCTGTTAGAGCTGTCCTGACTGTGAGTTTTCTTGCATGGGTGGGTCTGGACAGCCTGGTGCTGGTGAAGGAAAGCCCAGGAGCCACTGAAGCCCCAGAGGAATTCTCTTGTTCTATTTCCAGCCCTGCTTTTTAAGATAGGCCTTCAGATCAGATGCATTTCTGAAGCTTATCTGTGTGAATATTTGACTGCTTATCCAAACAGAACAAAAACCTCCAAACCTTCTGAGGTCCATCCATCAAAAGCCTTATCTCCCCATGTCACCGTTCAGCTCCTGGCCGCTGCCACTGGGAGCCTCCCACCGTCCGGGGCTCGGCTCTGCCCACCAGCTTCCCATCTCCCCTCTCCGGGCGGCTTCGCGGCATTATCCACGGTCACCTCCTTGGCTCCCTGCTGCTTCAGTGATGGCCTCTGCATTGCATGCAGGAGCGGCAGGCCTGGGCTGCTGCATGGTCTACAGCCAGCCAGCATCCCAACGGGCTGCATTTGCGCTGCTGTATCGCAGCCCGTATCGTCTCCATCCCACACACGTGTAGCCATCTGGGCTGTGGCCACAGCCACGACCGGAGCAGAGCATACTGACTCTGCTTGGCCCCAAGAAAGGAGAACATTTGTCTTGTTTTTATGGGATATTAATGAAGCCTGGATAAAGAATGCAGTCTCCTCTATCTGAGGTTCAAAGACCGAAATATCCAAGAATATTTCTGATCCCTTCTCTGATAGGAGGTTTTGTAAGAGGCTCCCTAAAATCCCAGCTGTTGTGTCGGGGAGGAGGGGGTGTCAGCCCTCACCACCTGTAAGCCACTGGTCTCCTCTGGCAGAGGCATCCTCACCGCTGCAGTGGGGCTGCTTGAGATCTCAGATAGCACCCCTAAAAACCCAGGTGGGCTCTGCCCTTTGGTAGCTGAGCACAGCACGTGAGCCACGGGATGCACTGGGAACACGGGAAGCGCACAGCAGGGGCACCAGCATCAGCAGCCCCGTGGAGGTTCCTGGCTGGGTAAAACCGCTGCACAGTTAGTCTTATGCCCAATTTATACAATATGTTATTCAGCCTTGTCAGAAGAGCCTTTGCAGGCTTGGTATCGGGGCCACAGGACATTTCTTGCTTTGAAGCTGAGCTGGCACAAGAAGTCGTCTGCAGTCCTGCTGTCCTGTCAAAGCCGTGGCCAAAAACAACAGGGCAAAGACTTTGGAAGGAGCCACCCATCCACAGCGTAAACGAGTTTAAATGGGGACCTGGCTGGCTCAGTGCTTGAGAACAGCTTTTAAGCGCATCAGAGGTTGAAATCCTGTGCACAACGGCGGGGATCAGAGGTCTCTGCTGCTTGGTACCGCCTAGTCTTGGCCCAGATCTAGACAAGCTTCGGCATCGGGGTGGGCTTTTCCAATGGGGACTGTTTTCCTATGGTCCTTTTCACAGGAGACTCTGACCCGTGGCCTGTTGTTCCTCTCCTCCCTGTGGTTTTAATTTTTTTCTCTATTTTGGTAGTCAGAAGGGTAAAACTAATTCCCATCTCATATATAACAATTAATTTGACTCAATAGCGAGAGGATAAATGTACTTTTTATACTGTGGTGTCTGATAAGCTATTTATAAATATCATAACACTTCTGGGTCATCTTTAGGGTTTAAAATAAAGTTTTAATTTAAACATAATTTTCCAGTGTTGACAGATATGATAAATACATTTTTGTTCCAATAAAACCTAATTTCAACAATGTTTTGCAAAAATCGTTATGAGCTGAGGATTATTCCCCTGATATTTTTTTTTTGCTTTGTTTGTCTCCATGCTCCAGTATTTATTTTAATGTTACATTCCATTATAGAAAAAACCATCTGTGACTGCAGTAATTCGTTCACCAAGCCCTCTGCTTAAGGGATGAGAGGATGCTCCTGAGAAGAACGATGGAGAGAGGCGTTACCTCGTGTCATAGAGGCTGTGGGGAAGTCGCAGCACCTCTCTGCACCAATAAGGGACACTGTGCCTTCCCTGCAGCTCCATGGGGGACTAAAAGTTACTGCCACTGGGAGATACCCTGCCTTGAAGGGATTCAGGACACTTGTTCTGGTGCTGGCACGATGGGAGCAAAGGGGCTTGGTGGCAGCTGGAGCTCCCAGGCCTCTGTGACACCAGTGCAGCGTGATGACAGCAGTACGTTAGCATTGCTTCAGGGAAGCACATGTTTGTCCAACGGCCCAGGACCAGAGGAGCCTTTCCCTGGGATCCAGTGGCACACGGGACTTCTTTTACACTCAGACTCCCCTACTTAAATCATTCCTCCAGGTGTGAAGATGGTGGCCACCTCCTCCCCTCCAGAGCATCGCTCCTCTGGTCCAAAGGCTCCTTTTCAGGCTTCGAGACCCGGTGGCAGAACCAGCCCTCAGGGCGCTGCTGCAAAGCCTGGTGGCAACTTCACAGCAATTGAGCTAACCTTGATATTCAAGGTGATCCCAAAAGAAAGCCAAGAGGGCACAGTGGGACAGACTTTGTGTCTGGAAGGTGAGATCAAACAGAAGCCCTCCATCTACAAGAGGGCTGCATTCCTGTTGCCTGAGCTAAACATCCATTGATGAGCTGAGTCCCTCCAAAATTTTCTCTGGGCTTTCTCTGGTTTTCCTGCTTTCCCATGTAAACAGCTCTGAGGAAGATCTCTTTTTCTGCAATCAAACATTTTCATTCTGCAGTAAAATAGCTCTTACATCAGCTACCATTGTATTGTGGATGCAAATGCAGCACAACAGAGCCCTTACATGTTGTGAGGTGAGTGGGTCAAATCCTGGGCTTGAACAACAAAAGTACAAGGAATGATGAGCAGGAAAACCAACTTGTTTTAAAGTGATTTAAGGTTGCTGCCTATCTTCTGAGCCCCACAGCTTACAGCCCATACTCCTCACGCTGCCTCCCTGTTAGACAGTCAAACAAGAGCTGATGCTATTTGGAGAGCAAGTCTGTGCTGGAGACATGCAAACACCGACGCTTGTATCCGCACGGACTGGCCTCCATCTGTGAGGAGCTCCCAGCTGCTGTGCTTAAAATACCTGGGAAAGGGGCATGCAGAAGGGGAGAGAGGTCTCTTTCTGACGGGTTGCCATGTCGCTCGGGCTGCTTTCATGGTGATACCTAGAGGACATCATCCGGCACAGCCAGTTGTGATAATCCTTTCAGTGGAAACAGGTGCTGGAGGATAATCCTGCTGTTTTTCTTGGTTATGGTTCTCTTCAGTCACTAAGACTGAGCAAACAGGATTATCACAGCAGCGATTCAGGAAGAGAAGTTACTGGTGCTGTGGACATTTGTTTCCAAGGCAGATTGCAGCTTTGCCAAGCAGCCTGCCCCGGCGAGGGCAGCGGGTGAGCCATCGGCACCGAAGGGATTCGCCGGCCGGCTCCTGTGGTCCTCGCTCAGATCTGTGCCATGCCCCTCGGGGAAGAGAGCCAGATCCCAGATGCAAAGCCCGTGCTCCCTACAGCTCTTCTGGAAAAACGCCTCCCCAAGCCCACCCATTGTGAGTGGGATGGAGACCCCACGGTCTTGCAGCAGCTAGAGGCATCGCCCCAAAACCTGGCCTGGGCCAAGGCACTGGCGGGGAAGGCTTGAGGCACTGTGGACCCCCCCGGGGTTTACGGTGACCTAGCCCTTCCCTGTGATACTTCAGAGCGAGTCTGCCCCTGTGTAAGCGCTGGCTCGTGCCTCCAGCAGACTTTAATGTATCGTCAGGTTTTGTTTTAAATCCCTGGAGCGCTGCACGCATCCATCTCCTCTCAGTCCTCCTCCACTGCTCTTGGAGACCAGCGTGGGCCCTGGTGACCCTCCTTGCTGTGCAAAGTCAGTGCCTCTCTGTTCCTGTTTTACCACCTTTTGCTTCTGCTGATAACAGCCCCTGACACCCCTCCCCGCCCCGGGCAATTCCCTTCACCACCAGGGAAGGAGGATGACACGTAAACTTCATGGCACCAGCCCTTACGCAGTGTCTATGCACAGACGTCTGCTCCCCTTTACTGGTTTGCTTCAGGACTTAGCTGACACCCAATTTCAGTAACAGCACAGCAATTGAGCTTGGCTTCATGGTTTTGTGGCAATCTTGACCCAAATCTGTTTTAAATAACAAATTGCGAAATAAGCATACGTGTACAGAGGCAAATACCAAACTGTAGGAATAGGAACTAGAGATGTGCAGCTCAGGAAGGGTTGTTAAAGCTCCAGCTTGTAGCGGTGCTGATAAGGCAGTTTCCAAGAAGTCGCCCAGCCCTTAAATTCTAGAAACTGTCTCTTCCCAGGTCAATAACCTTTTAGGGACTGAATCCTGGTGTCATCCTACAAGCAAACACGGTCCAGGCAGGACCTTCTGCAAGTGATATGAGAGAACGGAGAACCTGTGTTGCTAAAAGGGGTCCAGAAACTTTCTGGTATAGAAAAACACACAGTGAAAAGCACTTTTGGTAATCCTGGTAGTTTGGGAAAGCACAAGAAAATGTGCTTTTGACTTCATTCTTCTCTGGCCAAGTCTCCTCCTTGCTTGAGAGGGGATCGAGGTGCCCTTTGCTGAGCTGCTGCTCTGCCCTTCCCGTGCTGCGCTGGCAGCAAGCTGTGGTGCTGCAAGGCTTGGACTCCCTCCAAAGTCTCCCTTCTTCCCGGGGAGATATCCATCAGCCCCGGGAACAGGGCTCTGCACCCAGGCTGCTCCAACACCAGCTCACCTGCAGCTCCACTCCCTGCTTTTGACCAGCCTTAACTTCAGACCTGAACAGAGGCTCTTTGGAGAGAAGATTTTCCATATCATCCTGCAGCTCTGTTAGCAAAAACGTTCAATGCGGCTCTAGTGAGAACACCAAGATGGGGCTGATTAGACTCACGCAGTTGTTTGGCTCCCTCATTTTATGGGGATTTTTAAAAATATCTTATGCAGGTGCAGGAGTTGACATAACAGAGCATGCACCGTGTTAGAGTCCGTCCAGCTTGTGTGTAAACACCGCTGGTTCTTTTTTAAAACTCTTAGGAGCTGTTTCATAAACACAAAATATTTTGCTTAATTTCCAAATCATGTGCCATTTCCTTAGCAGGCCTGGTGGCGATGGAGGAGCCACCCATGCAGCCGCCGGCTGCAGCCCTGTGTCCTACAGAACAGTCCCTCGTCCCTGCCAGAGCTGGCAGCAGAGCCAGGCAGAGGCTACCACCTGCTGGACCTTTCTCATTGACTTCTTGCTCTGAACCTCCCCATAATGCCATTGACTGACAGCACTGACCACTTTCTGGGCAACTGCAGAAATGCTGTGTGCTGAGCATCGTGGCGCAAACACCTCTCGCTAGCTCTTCTTTGATAACAGAGTTATTGAGATGAAAGCCGCGTAAACAGCGAGGATGCTGGATGAGCAGCTTTGTGGGCCTGTTGTTTGTTGCTCATTTGGGGTGCGATGTGTGTTTTACAGAGTCTGGGTGTGCTCTTTTCCTTGCTGGCCTTCAAGAACAGGGGCACCTTTCTGAGCTGAGGCAAATTGCTAGGGGTTTGCCGAATTCGGGAACCTGACATTTCCCCATCGAAACTTGCTCCTACCAAAAAAAAGAAATTGGTCTTCCAACCAATTTAACTTCCAACCAGTCCTTAAGAAGTGGGAATAAAATTCATCCATACTGGATGGGCAGCTGCCTGAATTTGTGTGGGATCCCACACTTGCATGGGGGGTCTTGGGGGTCTTCATGGGAAGCACCCTTAGAGCATGAACCCAGCTCTGCTGTGCAATTGTGCATCATCATGCAGGCACCATTCCCGAGCAGCCAAGTCAGGTCCACAGGGCTGCTGCTTTTGTGAGGGTGCAGGACCTGGCCGGTGTAATCCAGGCAGCCCAGGGTCATGTTTGTCCCACTCAAGGAGCTCAGCCAAATGAGTCCTGTAGCTCACCCTGACTCCCGCAGCCTTGAGATTAAGGGACTTGGCACCCGCTTTGGATGGGCAAACTTTGGGGAACTTGCAGGGCTGAACACCCACTGCTGCCGACATGACCGGGGGGCTCGCGGTGCTGCAGCATGTGCATTTCTGGGGCAGAGACTTTGTTTTTGCACCAAGCACACTGAATGCTATCGGCGTAATTTCCTCATCTAGGCTTTTTTTGATTGACCTGCTCTACTGAGCTGCCCTGAGCCTCGGCAGGTCATGCTAGCTCGCACCTACAACGTGTCAGGCTTTGGCTGCCCAGTTAGCCAGGCTCCGGGAAGGTCACTGGAAGGACTCCAGTGGCCTCAAATAGGAGTTGACTCATGCCCCATGAGATCAAAACAAAATGTCTCTGCATATGAAAAAATATTATGGAAACTGTATCATTCATGCACAAAAGCCGCACTTCAAACTTTATCATATAAAATACATAATATTGTAAATAGAAAGAAAAATTGCATGAGGCCTGGTGCGCATTAAAATTGTTGGCATGTGAAAACGTCCTTTCCCATAAACACAGCTATTTTCTGGGGTCTGGTACACAAGTAGGCATGCAAAGCTAGAAAACTTGGACCTTTTCTGCACTCCTTCAAAGCACTCGTTTTCCATAGCAGTAATTCATTTCTAGGCTCATCCCTTGTCTTGACAAGAGTGACCCAGAGCAAATGCTTACAATGAGGTCATCAATATGAGGCGGTGTGACAGGTATGCTTCAGGACCTCATAAATACAGCAGCAGCACCAGAGAGTGCTGCCTGGGGGCAGAGAGAGATGCTGAGAGCACCCCATGGGCAGGCTGCAGCACTTGGCTCGCTTAGGTCTTTGTGGGACGTCTGACTCCGTGGTCAAATCCTGCCCCACTGATGCTGGCCAGGATTTGACCGTGATGCTCAGCAATGTGGAGTCTCTGCAATTCCCACAGCTGCCATCTGCGGCTTGATCGTATTCCAGTAATAGCTGATTGCCATGGCCCAGGGAGCAGGATTTAGCATATCACCTTCAGCAAAAGAGCAGAGGATGGCTTGGCATGCACGGCAAATGCAACTCTAAGGGAAAAAATGAATTAGTGTGGGTATTAACCAACAATTTGTCATATAGCCTCTCAAGCCAGCTTCTGATGCTGTGAAGTGTGCAGTGAAAAGCGACGGACGCCTGTGCATCTCCTCTGGCTCCTGCGAAGTTCTTCAGCGCTGGGAGCAGGTGAAGACCACCAAGGCTGTTTGCTGCTCAGCAGATGGGAGAAGCCGTGATGAACGCTTCCAGCTGCTGACTGCAAGTGGCTCTTTCCTCTGACCGTGGGGCCGTGGGGCAAACTGTAGCTCAGCCTTTCCCTCTGTGCTGTGCTTCCCTCCTCGGGCAGGAGCATCAGGAGCTGGCTGCGGGCACTGCAGAAGTGCCGTCTGTCTCCCTGTAGGCTGGACCTGAAGCATGTTCCCTTTATCACCCTGAATGCAAACACGTTCAAGCTTCAAACGATACAGAAAGCCAAGTGAAATAACCCACCTTGTCCGCTACTGCAATCAAATTACCCTTTTTTTTCCCCAAAACACATGCAGTTCAGGACAGCCGGTCACACCGGCCCATCAGTGATCCGCATGCTTACAGAGCACAAGAGCTGTGAGATGGCTGATGGGCTCTCATGCTCTCCTGCCCCAGTATTATGGGTTGGCTGTGGAATGTGGCTCAGCTAACTGGGCTATACTGGTTTCCTGCTGGAGTGTGTTCCCCTAACTGACATCAGGAGACATCCAGCTGCAATGACTAAGCTCTTCTTGCATTCCAGAAATCCGACAAATAAATGTTTCTTGAAAATACACTGGTGTTTTGTTCTGGGAAATGAGTGAACCATCAGCCTGGTTCCTTTTGTGGGGCAAAGCTTCACAAGGACCCGCAGGGCACTGCGCAGTAACACGAGCATCTTGCTTGCCCGCCCTCCCAGCTCGCCTCTCCTCCTTTGATGGGTTTGGAATGAGCTCTGGAGGTCTAACCTCGGAGAATAATGATGTGTGAAAGATCACTTTCATTTTTCACTCTACTTTTTTGGAAGGTGGAACATTTTACAGTTGACAGTACCATGCTAAAGCCTTATGAGGCAAGCAACTATTTTTAACCAGACGGAGACTATCTGAGAGTCTACTGCTGAATCATTTTAAACAAGGAAGAAATCATGGGATCCAAAAGTGGTGCTGGGGCGAATGGGGGTGGAAAGCCTTTCATGATGCACTTGTTCCAATAACTGTTCAATTACTTCCAGACTGTGATGACGACTATCTGAAAGTGCCTGTGGGCTCACTTCAAGTAGTGGCTGCATTTTACAAAATACTTCTGCTTTGAAAAAGAGGCAGGTGCTCAGG